CATTTGTTCTTATTACTTATCATTATATCCCAACTAACATGAGAGTCTGAGTGTGCTTTCCGCTTGCAGTGCCACCCTAATGTAATAGGATCTTAGAAAAGGACAACAGCGACATTTGTAAGGTTTTAAAAATATGTTAAGGTACGACTAAACTGATACGACAAGATCTTAAAAACTGATTCATAATCATGATTCATGAGTCAATGTCACAAGTGAAATATATAAAGTATGAACTATTAAATTACATTAAATAAACCAGCTTTTGGCATATGGGAGAACATTATTTCGGAAAATACAGCATATGACTCAGTATGACTGATTGTTACTATCACCTATTCTGATACAATCTGGACTTAAATCGTATAATAGAAGCTCCAATTGTGATAAAATCTGTCAAAAGTAAGAGTTTGAGATGACTTAAGTGTATACAAAAAAACTAGTCTCTAGAATCAGTCGATTTGTGAGTTATTTATGGATTGCATGAATCAGTCTATGGAATAAAAAAAAAATAAAAGAATTAGTGAAATATTTCATTCGTGCTACGAGTATGTCAATTATAATTGTTGAAAAGTAAATTTAATAAAGTACATTTCATTGTTTCTGATTTTTACTGTTCTTACTTTAATGAAGGAATTACAAAGTTAGAGAGTACTGTTAAGGTTATATACCTATAAGAATATATATCGGATTTATATAATAAAATCCTTAGCGTTAAAAAACGAAATTTCCAAAGTTTATTTCTGTTTATATGTATGAATTTTTGAATTCTAAAAAGGAAACTTAATTTAAGCTGCTTTGAGCTTCTGCATGAATAAAAACTAATAACTCACTAGATGCGGAATCAGTGCTTAATATTTTGATAATTTTATATAACATTATATCTAATGTCCTTCTTTCTTAAACTTTAACTTTAATGTTGAATAGAGCAAGAATATCTTTCTGAAAATTTATTTTTATGAAGTGGATTTTTAAAAAAGAGACCGAGTGAATAATAAAATTGCCTTTTTAGATAATCTAATTATATTTATTATTTTAGATATTAAAACCTTTTTAACTTATAACTTTATTTTACTTTTAAATATAGTAATATTAAACTATGGGCTTTGAAGTAAGATACTGGGCGCAGTCACCTCACATGTATATAATTTGTATACTAACACAAAAGTATATCTAGAAATCAATAAGTAAATTTTAAAGTTCTATCAATCTAGAAATTTTCCTATCAGATTTAAGTGAAGTCTTACGTTGATAAGTGTCATCATTAATTTATAAGCCACACCTGTAACTGAGTCGAAGTGAATTGTAATACAGTACCATATTATATATGTTATACTCGTATATCATATATGTTGTTTTTATTATATATATAAGTAAATATACATATTTTTAGTATATAACTTGTTGCTCAGATATAAGTATTAGTAATATAATGTATAGTATGTACAAAAATTATTTATTAAAAGCAAGAAACATTTCATAGGGTGTGTATGTCTGTCTTCAACTTAAGACAATTATTAATTAAATATTCAGTACATTAAGCCAATTATTTTTAAAAGAAAACTTAAGACTGATCATTTGGGCTTTCGCTTCTATGAATAAATTCATAAATTATACTGTAGAAAAATAACAAAAAATGTTGAATTATGTGTTGTAATAAAGAGAGTGTGACTTTTTGGGTTAAATTTATTAAAGAACTCATGAAGCCTCATTTAGTGTAAGCCTATGTATGCAAGTATGTACCCGAACACGCATCGTATGAATGAGTGCGACATTATTCATAAACTGTATACTCCTCTGTATACCATATAATAAAATTTATATATTGTTGTTAAAAATTTTATTTATTTCTTTGAGTTAAAATATTTATAGTTTAATTAATTGAAAATTTTTATTAAATTTCCCTTAAATTATTTTGGAAAGAATGTATTTTTAATTAAAAAATATTTTGAACATTTTGAAAACCAATATCAGAACAAATACAATTTATCCAAATAGAAGGAAACCGAGATTCTAAAAATTTTTGTATTTTTAGGGAGAATTTTCTAAATTAATTAAAATGACATATTTTACTTCAAAAACTATGTCATTCATTCATTAATTTTATTAAAAACAAAACTGTTTTTATGGATACGAAATGCTTGAAGTAATTTTTTTGGTTCAAAATATTTATTCATCCAAGTAATGATATATGATGGCTTAAAACTTATTACAGATAGTATTTTAATAAAATTTTATTCATGCATTATCTTTTATAAATGTTGTATATGAAAGCAATGCAGAATGTTAAAATTCAAATACAAATATAAAATAATAAATAAAATACAAATATAATAATACAAACTAAGTGAGAATAATCAACTAATTTTCTGATTTCATATTAGATATCATTACATTACAATTTAAAATGGTATTTTCTAATAATTAGCTTTCTAAACCGACTCAAACTGTTACGCTTATTACTAATATTGATAATATTATAACGTGTATAAACTACTCCACTAATTTTAATTCACATCACATTCAACTTATCTCATATACGAGTATAAGCAATATTAAAATGCTATCTAACAGCACCAAAAATGCAAAATATATGAGAGAAAATAAAAATAATTTGAAAATTAAATGTGCCGGTATGCTATTTTTAAAAAACCTCTATAAGAGTATAAACTTTTTTAAATTTAAAATAAAAAATATAGAAACTTCCAGAGAACTGTACAAAATTAAAGAAAAATTTCCTATAATGTTTTAACTACACTGATTCGTCTTGTCGAAGTTTATAAGATAATTATTGTTTCGTCTAATAAATTCAAACTGTTCGTTAATATGTTTTAATAACTTGCTTTTTTTCAATAAAAGAGAATTTTTTTAATTATTAAAAAGTGATTCATCAACGATAACAGATTTTTATAAGGCACCTTGGTGCATCGTTAATTTAAAGAAACGTCTGTGAAATTTTTTATTAAATTTAATTCACTAATTTTTTCTTTTGTTTTAAAAGAGAGACTAAAATTATTTTTCTTTAAAAAAAAATTGATTAAACTTATAAATTAAAAGCAGTTTTATTAATTGCTTTAGTATATATTTATAAAGTATTGTTTGTATGCATTCTGTTTTCACTAAAAAAATTCAGTTATAAAAACTCATTTAAGATATTAAAAATTACAACACTTTTCACAAAAAGTAATGAAAACGCAGACAACAAATTTTGAAAAACGGCCGAAAGTCTTCAAATAAAGTGAGGAACACATGAAAACGTCTTTTGTTGTAGGAGCAGACATGTTTACATATAGCATGTGTTGCCAGGCAAACCTTTAAGCAACCTGTCTGGTTTTCTAATATAAAATAAAAGAGATTAAACGAAGAAAAAGTAAAGAAACACATACAAAATGCTTTGCGATTCTGTTTAATAGAAATTGTATCCAAAGACGAGAAAGAAGAAGATGTTGGGTTATTATACTTCAAAACTCTAAAAGAACCAAAGTCATCGCCTACCTGACGTGTTGATGAAAATTTACTTAAAAGTTGATAAAAGGATAACCTTAAGGATGCAGTAATGTTTGTGTAAGTAGAACCTACAAAAATAAAGAAGCACAAATAACACACAAACTGATACATAGGAAGTTTAACAGCGATGAAAAGAAAAAATGTACAAAAAAAAAAGATAAATGCATTGAAACCTTTTGAACCTGTTTGTTCATCAGCGAAGGTCTTTTTTATGACATATGAAATGCTTCAATGATTTTGATAATCATTCCGAACTTTTAAAATTCGTTTCGGACCAAAAGAAATAAAAAGTATTCCACTTTGTTTAGTTAATTCTCTGTTATTTTAGGCATTTTACCTCAACTACAGGTATGTTGTATATTAATTTGACAATTATTGAAGTTTTATTGCTGACAGTTTTGTATCATAACAAAATTTATAATATATTTTAACTGAAAGATGGAACTATGCCTGTTGATCTATAAAAATAATGGGTTTACTTAAGTTCAAAATTCTTCAACCGTTAAAAATTTATCAACAATCTAAAATATCCAGCTGTTTATAGTCCAAATGATAGTTGGCATTTGTTGGGATATTGGAAGGCGTCAAAAAATATTATTTTCATAATTGTTTTAGTAAATACTTTGAAACAATTTTATATAATAAATTCATACTTTTCTATATATGTATACAATATTAAAAAAATTTAACAATTTTTTAATTACTGTTTAACTACAATTTCAAACGTATTTTATTTACACCTTGTATTTTTTAGAGCCACTGAAAAGGTTTCAATACTAGGGTTTATCACATTTTTGCACAAAATTGGCATTATAAAATTTGAATGGAGCAAAATAAATGTCTAGTCGCCACGCCTATATAATAATAGGGCAACTTTTTTGAACGTGAAGTGAGTGAGCTAAAATAAATGCAAGTATTAAACCAATTTACGAGAAATCTATATCCTTTCCAACATAATAAATTTCGTTATGGCGCCATTTTTTAAGCAAATAAACAAATAAGGATATTTGCGGGTACGAAACTTCCACCAAAAATCATATCACAACATGCCAACCAATCAGAAAGCTTAAGTTTTTATAGAATAATAGCAAATATAAAAAGGGTGTAGAAGATGTGAAGGGTGATGTTACTATAAGTTAAATTTTAATTTTAGAAGTTTCCGCGCTTGTTTCCTGTTTGCCTAGCGGCCATATTTTACTTTCCTTTCAATTTCCTTCGAATTTGCACGTTTGTTTAAAAATATAAATGTACTAAACAAATAAATATGTATACAAGGAAAAAATTTTTGCCTGCATGTATTTATTTATATACGTATATTTGAGCTGAATATGTATGTATATACTAAATAAAAATACCTATATATAAAAGTACTTTTGTTCGTATAAGTGAATTAAAAAGCCGGTTAGAATTCGTTAAAGAAAATTGCTTTACGCTCAAAATAAAACGTAACAGAAATGTTCTGCAGAAAATGGAAGTAAAAAAACACATTTTCAAAAATGTTTGTTATAATTAAAATAGAACAACAACGCCAACAAGCACGACAACACAAATGCTTACGTATTATTCAAGTTGGCAAGCTCAGCGCATTACTGATGATTGTGTTGTTAAGCTTGATAATGACTGGAGCGCCTGATGTTTGTTGTCTAGTGTTGCTGATGTGTGACTCATCATAATAATGAATTCTGTTACGTTTGCTGTTTCTGCTGAAATATTGTTGTTGTTGCTGCTGTTGTTACCGCTGCTTAAAAGCCTTTTTTTAATGAAGCTTTGTTAACTTTGTCATAAGCGCTTAGATGTGTGCATACATGAGATACAATGCCAACGTGGATATGCACTTTTTTGTGCATAAGCGTATATATTTGTATATCTGTATATGTTACTGCAATCAAATTGTAACGCAGCATTGCTCATGCTAACCAACAAACCTTCCGGCAAAGGTCTAAGATGGAAATGTCGACAGTATACTGTGTACATATGTATATACAACGTACAAGTACACAAATCCAATTAAAGAAGAAGATGGTGGCGTTGGCGTTGGCGTTGCCTATTTCAAAATATAAAAAATTTTCACTTTTTCAACTTGTTTTTGGCTTGTGGTTACCTTTGCTGCGTTTAAATTAAAAATTATATTTTTTTCTAAAATGTTTTCTTCGAGTATTTTTCGCTCTTTTGCTGTCATATGGAGACGTTTGTTCCTGTGCTTTAAGCTTGCAAATTCTTGAACCAAACACAAATGCTTTAACATGTGGGTTCATATTCCATTGCTGCTATTTCGTATCAATACAGGGATGTATATGTATGCTTGTTGTTTGTGTGAAATGTTATTGTAAATTGCATACTTATGCACTTTTTTATTGTTGTTGCTGCATATTGAGCATATAACAAGCTCTTGAGACATGTGAATGCACCCACTTTGATATTACTTCCCTTCTCCACAACGCCACACGTTCACATAAATATGTAGAATATTCTTTCGAAAAAATATTTGGGGGAAGTGTTTTGTTGATTTGTTAAATTTTCATTTTATTGTTTATTTCTGCTTTTTTACTTTATTGGAATTCTTTGTATTATTATTTTCGACACGTATTGGATGTCCAAATGTGCCATTGTTATTTGATTAAGCTTTTCACTTAAATCGGAAACTCAAACGAAAGTGAAATAAAGCAAAATCTAATTAAAGAAAATGTACTAACTTACCGTTGTCGTTTACATTTTTTTTAAAACAACGTTTTTTTCAAATCGACATGAAATGTTGAAGTATTCAATTCAAAGAATATAAATAGTTATTTAAAATTTCATGAGTAAATTTATAACAGAGCCCTATAAAAATGTTGTTTTTTTTAAATATTTTTGTTATTTACTATTTTTTTACTAAAACATAAAAAGCAAACAACTTTATAAACCTGGCTATCCACCTTATTTTAAAGGTGACAACTCTGTTACATTAGTTAGAAAAGGAGCTCTACAGATTTGGCATCTTTTACTGTAGATTATTTAACATACTGCACTTTATATACTATTTTCTTTTTTTTAAATATCGATGAATTTATATTAACTAAATTATTTTTGCAATATTTAAAACAAGCTACTTATAACCTAAATTGGTTGGATTAACTTTTGAACCATTCGACTGTAATTTAATAATGTTATTAATGGCAATAAAAATCATTAGTACTTAATATATAATTATTAAATTAACTTCTAATTAGCGCTTTAATATAAAAATTGTGAGTTTGTTTCTTATTCTTACAGTTGATCCATTTTTATCATATTAAAAGTATTTTTATAGCCTCCAATATTTTTTTCGAGTATATATTGGATTAAATTCAAGCCAAGCTATTTTATAATTTGATAAATAATATAAATAAAATTTTGTTTTAAATTTTTTTTGGTGGGCTATTAGCCACTTTTAATTGTATATAAAACAAAACACGTTGTTTATATTTAATCATAGATTTTATTAAAATTTAATAACAAGTTCAAAAATTTTACCATCTTTGATAGTCATCTTCGGAAACAGTTAAAGTATAATTTTATAAATTCTTACATGGAAATTAATTTTTTTATTAAATTAAATATGATAGATTTTTTATCTAAACTGCTATATGAGTTATCTGCAATTTTATTCGAGTCAATTTAATACTGTTCAACCATTATAAAACTTATTTTCACCCTTAAAAAATTGTTTTAAAACAAGTACAGTTATTACTCAAAAGTATTAAGCAAGTACATTAAAAACTATTAAAAAAGCAATTAGATTTAAAATAACAACAAGGAAACTTATTTACAAAAAATGCATATAAATCTTAATAGAGTTCAAACAAGACCTAAACAAATATAGGCAAAAGCCTAAATGCAAACAATCACAAACAAGTTTTCCATATTGAAAATAAGGGCCGAGAAGTACCGGCATATTTGAAAAATATAAATCCTAAGAATGAGTGCGTTTAAATATAAATGAAAATGTGAAAGTAATTTAACGAAAATCATTGGAAATAAATACAATTCTCGAAAATAATTATTTTGTTTTGTAAAGCCATATAGCATTGCTTGAAAGTGTAAAGAAAATTCTCATGTAGAATATTACTTATATGTAAATATGTCGTTGTCAATATAATATATTACACAAGAGATAACAAAATACTTTGCAGCAATTCCAATGTTTTTTTTATTATTTTAATTATAAAAAATTTTTTTCCGTAGCATTTAAATTTTAGACTTTAAATTGACATAAAAAATTCTGTTAAACTAGAAGCAACACTTAGGTATTAGTGTTATACTGAATATATGTTTTCATGTACGTTCTATAATTTCGGATTAAAGTTGAACTTATCAGTAGCGGACTTACGAGATAAATAAGTTCGAACAAATAAGTGTTAATAATTTTATTTTACCAATGAAATAGTAAAATATTAAAATCAATATATCTCGGGACGAATTTTAAGATAAAAGCTTACAACTTCCGGTAACATATTTTGGCATAAACTTCATGAACGAATATTAATATTTAGCTAAGCGAATGTTGTAACATAAAAAAATCACATAGAACTGTTAAATATAATGTCATTACAGAAAATTATTCATCACTGTAGTGGCATGAAATTACAGAAAGGCAGGCATACAGAAAACATCTTATAATAAATTTCATAATAGAAAATTAAGAATATAGACTGTACAAAGTTTTGGTGACAACTTTGATGAAGAGCTACAAAAATTAACATCCATAACTGTTATTAGGCGCATATAAAACGTGTAATAGAATATTGTGGTCCTGATCTTTATAATATCAAGCTATCATAAAAAATTTAGTTGTACTTTAAGTAATTTATAATTTATTCAAACACAACATATATGAAATCCAAAAATGGTAAACTGGTTTTAATAAAAACGCTATAAATATTAAATAGAATTGCTTTAATTTCTCTATGATCTACTCTACTGTACCGCGCTTAATATATTACTGTGGCATTCTAGCTAAATGTGGAAACATACTTGTGTAAGTTTATATATGCTTCAATCTCTTTCAAGAAGTTCTTTTTATAACACTTTTCTATAAACGTTAACTGATATACACGAATGCAATACACATTCTGATATACACTTCACAGCACACATGCATATACGTAAATACAATATCTGTGCTATTATTTCTGCTTTAGTGTACCTTTAGTACCTGTTCTATGTCCACTTGTTTGGTTTTTGATCTGAAGTCTATGTAGTTCTTACTAAATTTTTTTCATTTTTTTACACTTTTAAACCACACAAAGCAGTCATTGAAAAAGGGTTTTGTTGGCACAGCTAGAGCTGCGTTTAGTTACTTTGTGGCAGTTGCTGTTAACTTGTTTTCCTTTTTCACATTTCGTTATGTTGCTATCGTTACCAACAAGCAACTTTCAATATTGACGTTACAGAAAGAATTCTTTGTATTTCTGTTTTATTTCTTAGTTTATTTTATTTTTCTTGGTTTCACAATAATTTTCCACATTTAACCTTTTTATCTGTTTTCATCATATTTCTAAGTATAAGTTTTGAAATTGTTTACAGCCGTTTCAAAAGAGAGAGAAATAAAAGAATTAAAAAGAAAATAAGTTTTGCAACAAAAAAATATAAAAAAAATTAGGGGCAAAGGTGGTTAACGTAATCATAGATTATGGTACTAAATTTAGACGAATGCATCTTCAGTTTAAATTCTGATTAGGATTATTTTACGCTCGGCATATTTATATTAAAATTGGATTTGTGAATAATTTATTTTTAAGATTTTATAGAGACGAAAGTAATTATAAAAGCATTATTATGTAAAATAGAGTATGTTTCATCTACAATATAATACAGTCAAACTTCCATAATTTGCAAAGAAAGGTTCGACTTATGGAGACTTCGAGTTAAAGAAATTTTTTGTAATTGTGTATAATTTGCTCTCCAAACCGTATTGCACTCTACTTAGTTCGAGTTATAGAAAATTCGAGTTATAGAAGTTCGATTTAATTTAAGATCTTCAGTTCAAAAATGTTTATTCATGATAAGACAGTAAATATAATGTACTATGTTGAATTTTATGGAAAAAATTATAAAATATTTTAACGAAACTACGCTAATTATTAAATGTATATTATATATAC